GGCTTTTGTCTTCTGTTTCCATTCGCTTTCTCTCTCCCTGGATGTGCAAGACTGTCTTGCATCTGGAGAAAACGCTCTCCTGTGACAGTGCTTTGAGACCAGCTGAAGCAACAGCGATGTCATCTCTGTAGCGAGATGCTCGACTGCTAACTGGAAAATGGGGTGTCTCGTGCGGGTGAAAAATCGTCTTGATAGCGCGTGGGGGTGTGTGTGGTATTTTGGTAGCATAAAGAAGGGGTTCATGATGGCTTTAGGTGACCTTCTATTAAAAAAATACGCTCCCGCCTTCTCACCTAACGGTTTGATTTGTGGACCCTCAAATCGAGGAAAGCCGCCTGTCTGAATAAAACAGCAGGAGTCAGTATTTAGCGTGAGTTATAGGATGAATATTTGCCGGTGTAATGTAGGTGATGGGATCAGCTGGGAAAAACTGAGACGTGGACGAGGAGAGTTGCAGGTCCAGCACCCAACTGCCCGCTTCCTTGCACCCTCCGTGGGTGTTTTATACTTCATGCGGTATGGGCTGTTCATTTCTTGCGCTAAAACGGCAGATTTTGGTTCTGGCTTTGGGTATTCTGTGCCAAATACACACGTTTATCCTGCTCTTCTGCGTTACTTACTCTATGAAGGAGAATCTGGGAAGGAAAGCAAGTCTAAGCAAAGCGTGTCTCGCTTATTTTGATACCTGTGATCTTGTGCAGTTCATTACAGAACTGCAAATCTTTAATTAATGAGATGTAAATATATTGTAATGATTGCATTTGCATACTGAGTGAGGCTTCAGCACCTTAGGTTGTGATGTATTTTAATTAAAGATTAATTAGAAATGATGGGAATTTCATTTCGCTTAGTATAATTATTTTACATATTTGATGAATATCTTGTAGGTGATGTGCCAGAGAATGCACAATAGTATATTAGTGCAGCTGACGGGAGCGGCTCCTCAGGCTTTTTGAGCCAGTGTAGGGTTTTTCTTAAACATCCATGAGAGTGATGGATTATGAAGGATTTTACCATTACTTTCTACATCACCCTTAAAACACTGACTCTGCCGCAACCGGTTATGCCGTAACTCCAATCTCTTAGCGTCTTTGACGCAAAGCCTTGAGTATTGGTAGAGTTGTTAGATGTTCTTAAACTTGTGGGAGCTTCAAAAATTTGATGGCCAAAAGGGTACTGAGAGGGGTAAACTTTCTAGAGAAGCGTTCTTCTCGGAGTATCGAGAGCCAGTGGGTAATAATCCTGAAAGGACAGGAATATTTGAGGAGGCTTTTTCTATTGTGGTAACTTTTTTTTTTTCTTCTCTCCTTTGGAATCCTTTTTGTTTAATGAAATCTAGTTCTTCCAGAAGCCACGCAGACTGCAAACTCCTGCTGGCGTAATTTTCAGGACTGTACGCAGAAAGAAATGGGTGACGCCTGACCCACAGAGCATGCCGGAGGCTCTCGGGGTAGATGCAGCTACCCTGACAAAACTCTTCGTGGTACGGCATGTACTTCTGGGATTGTTTTCACCAGGCTGTCAAAAGAGCCTTGCAGAAGCTGGTGGGAGCGCAGCGTTCCTGCAGCTGCGATGGTTTTGCTCTCCCATTGCGCCATCTTTTGAGATTATCGGCTCTGGAAGGTCGGTAGGTGAACAACTGCAGCGCTTGTACTTGGAAATGGGAACTGGCTGCTACTTGCAGCAAAAAAATAGGTAGTTTTGAGTGAGTTTGATGTAACTTGCAATCTTTACAAATACTATCATTAGGTGAAGATACTAGGAGTAAAAATAAAGGGAAAGCAAAAGGTATCCATTCCAGGAGACGATGGTTTTAATTTAAAAATAATATTCGTGGCAATGATTTCTGTAGAACTTGTGTTTTAACCGTCACGCGTATTATTAAGATGCAGTTAAGCCAGAAGTTTAAAATCCACCCGATGGAGCAGGTTGGACTGACAGAGCTTCTCGCACTCATCGATTCTTCGGTCTGTCCATCTTTGAGAGAGCTTATTAAATAAAAGTTTGAACCGCTGGGTTGGAAATGCAGTTTACAATCTGTTGATGATGGTTAACTCCTTTCTACTTTCTTGTGACTTACTAGAGCCAGCCAACCAGAGTCTTCCCTCGAGATGGGGAAGGTGCGTTAGACATGCTTTTCAGCAGTCAACTTGAGATGAGCTGATGTGTAATTGATGATAACTAATGTCTAATTACCATAATTAGACAAGTGACATAAAATTAAGCTGCAGCTGGGAGCTTGACTTCAACATGAGGTAGTCTGATATGCATCATAATGTGCATAAAAAGACGCTTGGCAGAAGCGCATTCAAACAAGAAGGTGACACCAAAGTATCTGTTGCACTGAACTGACGCTTGCCAGTCCAAATAGTTCCATGGGAGTGTTATCCAAAAGACTAACAGCAAATGCCTGCTGGTGAACTCTCTGCTGGGTCTCCCAGGAAAAAAACAAGGAGAACTGGTGATTTTAAAAACAAAAAACCAACAACAAATTAAAAAACCCCTCTTTTTTTTCTGTGTTTGTTTCATTTCTTGTAACGTTCACTCGTTAAAAAGGGTGTATGCAGTAGAGGGTCTGGTTTTGGTTTTTTAATAAGGTGTTCATTTTAATGCCGTAACGAGTTAGAAGAGCCACTAACTTTTAAAATAGTCAACACTCTCCTCATTGTTGTCTTAGCTCGAGTTCAACAGTTACCCACGTACTACGTTACAGCTACTTTTGCCTTACCTTTCTCCGCTTGCAAAAAGACGGGGGAAGTTCTGGAGAAGAGCTGGGTCGCTGTGACAGAGTGAAGGTCTGCAGCCACTCCAAAGCGCTCTTTTCTTCAGAATTGTGTAGTAATTTTCTGTACAGCCTGCAAAATATTAAGTTCAGCAATGTGAGTGTAAGTTAGGCTGCTCATGTGTTCAAAATTCTTCTTCTTTTTTTTTTCGATGGGCTATTCTTTTGCCTACAAAATGCTGAAAATTGTTATGAATGCGTATCTTTAATGTCTCTGTACATGTACATTGTTCTCCTGCCCTCACACTCGAATCTTAATCTTTGCATAACAAGAGATCTTTTGAGTTTATCTTTGGGCGGGAACGTAGTGTCCCATTAACCTGCCAATTACAATTTGGAAAAGGTCATTTGAATTTTGTAGCTTCACAAGGTCAAGACCAACTGTTCATCGAACTGAAATTGCCTAGCAATTAAAATCAAATTAAAAGCCAAAAAGCTGTTGGCATTTTTTGTATTGGCTCAGTATCTCATGAGTTCTTACACTTTTTTTAAAAACTGAATTTGTGATAAGTTGTCAAAAAAAATGGGAAATGAAGTTTTTAAAACAAATTTGCTTGTAATCAGACTTGAAGAATAATCTGAGCATACAGACTGCTGCAGCCTGGGTTTGTTGACTGTAAGCTTAAGGAAACTGGCTCTGCAGCGTTTTCTCATGTTGTTGCAGATTTTAGTAGATTTTAAAATTCAGCGCTGTTAATAAGGCTTCGATTTGTAGCCTGCTGCTGTATGGCATAGTTGTATCCTTGGCACGTGAAGCAGACGAGGTCGAACTCACGCCTTGTGTACAGATTCCCACGGGTTCTTGCACGAGCGTGGTGTCCGTTTCCGTCCCTGGACGCAGAGGCGTAGCAGTTGTCCCAGTGGCTCAGGCCTTTCGTCCGTCTGTCCGTCCGTCGTCGTCTGGCTGCACAAGGTGGTGCTGAACGCCGTTGAGGACCGTGCAAGGAGCCAGGCAGCGGGCTGACGCGGGGCGTCCCCTCTTTAATAACCTCGTTCTAATTTTTATAGACTGCTAAAATAATTTCTGCATGTAGTATAAACTAGTATGACCCCCGAGTAGCCTCACAATCAGCGTGCATTTGAAAACTTGCCTTGCGTTTTGGTGTTTCTCGATCCAAACAATGTCCTGTTTGTTCCGACGTGTTGCCTCGTGGCTTCGTTAAATACTCCCTTATAATTTTTTTCTTGAGCTCAAGACCTGCTAAATCCTCTGAAGGGCGTTTAAATGCTTTGCCAGAATTGAAGTGGATGCTCTTTCCTGTTTCGGAAATAATCTTTTGATTCCCTCTTTATATTTATCTAGTGTTAAGTATTCGCGGTATTCAGGAAGAAGATCCCCCAGATGCTCAACTAATGAGACTAGATAACATGTTGCTGGCAGAGGGTGTCTCCGGGCCCGAGAAAAGAGGAAGAGGAGGACCGATGGCTGTAGCAGCAACATCAGGTGGCTGTCCAAATGACAATAGCATTGAACACTCTGACTACAGGGCCAAGCTGTCACAGATCCGACAGATATACCACTCTGAGCTAGAGAAATATGAACAGGTGATCTTTCTGCATGGAAGAGTTTTTATCATCTCAATTAAAAATAACCATTTTTTCCTTTGGTGTCGGTTTTAAGAACAGAACAGGAAGTATAATGAATTCAGGTGAACGCGAGGAGATCAAATTCAGTTGAAAGCTTATCTCAGTGTTACAGAAGTAAGGTGAAGATAGGGGGACTGGACATCAAACTAAAGATAATAAATGTCTCGTTTATCTTTGTTGCCGTTTCTTTTAAGAGTAAATAGAGTAAAGCTGAAACATGGAAACTCCTCTGAAGTTTTTTGGATATATATTCTTGTTGGGGAAACGAATTCTAGGGTATTTTATTGTTTGTCGATACAAATGTGTGTATTTTCAGGCCTGCAGCGAGTTCACCACCCACGTTATGAACCTGCTTAGGGAACAGAGTAGAACAAGACCGATTTCGCCAAAAGAAATAGAGCGCATGGTGAACATAATCCACGGCAAATTCAGCACCATCCAGATGCAACTGAAGCAGAGCACGTGCGAGGCAGTGATGATCCTGCGTTCCCGCTTTCTTGACGCAAGGTACGACGAAAACACAATCTAGCCGTAACGTGTGTTTAAGGCCGAACTTCTTTTGTTGCTGGATGCCGGCGACTGCGCAAGAAATCGCAAGCCTGTCGTTCCCAGTGTCGGTCTAGTTTAAATATTAAGAATTCTCCCCCCGTTTTGCTCGCTGGGGTATACTTTGACATCAAGATCTGTTTAATTCCACTCAATTCTTAATGTTCCCCTTCAAACCAAATGTATTTTAGAGGGGGGGGAAAAAAGCCAACGGCGTACTCTAGCCAATCTGCAGCACTGTTTAAATAGGAATAACTAATATTTTTACAGGCGTAAACGACGTAACTTCAGCAAACAGGCGACGGAGGTACTGAATGAATATTTTTATTCGCATCTGAGTAATCCTTACCCCAGTGAAGAGGCCAAAGAAGAGCTAGCAAAGAAAGGCGGCATCACAGTTTCACAGGTATGAAGTGGTTTATCTGGAATTAAGTGACCTTTTTTTTTTTTTTCCTTGAACAATGTTGTGGGGTTTTTCCCCATAATTAGCAACAGGCTTCAGTCACTGGTACTTTAAATAGGATTTAGGTTATTTGGAAGGGTTTAGTAGTAGGTATTTTCTGCTCAAAGCCTAGTTTAAAACATCTCCTTTGCTGGTAACTTCCGAATATAGCGGAATATCTCATCATTTGATCAAATGCTAACAGTGATATATGTCTCCAGGTTTCCAACTGGTTTGGTAACAAAAGAATTCGATACAAAAAAAACATGGGGAAGTTCCAAGAAGAAGCTAATATTTATGCTGCAAAAACAGCAGTGGATGCAACTAATGTCGTGGCTCAAGGCAACCAGGCAAATTCTCCATCTACACCAAATTCAGGTGAGAGTGCCGGTGAAGAGTCCGTCTGCTTGAAAGTCTCTAATTATTTCTTGTGACAATTAGTACCACAGACTACCGGTGTTTGAAACGGTACCATTTTTGGTGGGTTTTATTTCTCATTAAAACATGTTTGTTTGGGTTTTTTTTTCCCCCCAGCTTCCTCTGGCTCTTTTAAGATGACAAATTCCGGAGATTCGTTTATAAACTTGCAGTCATTGACTTCCTACCAGAGCTCCCCAGTGGGAGCCAATGTGCAGTCCCAGGTCAGTAAGGGAAAAAAATACATAACTTTTCAACAGCGAAATAAATGTTAAAATCCCATTTCTCTGTCCTTTATACGGTATGAACAGGTTTCCCAGGGAGGTTGTGGACCCTGCGTCCTCAGAGATACTCAAAACTCAACCTGCTGTAATTGACCCCACTTCAAACGGCAGGGTTGGATTCGACAATCTTGTTTTATTTTTTTTAAAGTAGATTCTTTTATTAGCAGCTAGGGATGGGTTTTTCTGGCTCTGGCCAGCACTGGCTAGGATGCAAGAAATGACTAGAGTCAAATTTCTCAAACGAGCCAAGACACGAACCTGCTCAAATGTGTATTTTCTCTTGGAACTGGGATTTTCTCTTACGGAATTAACTGATACCTAAATTAACCTACTGCCATTCTTCTATCCTTTCAACTTTACGTTCATGAATCGGTGTTTTCTCATCTTACAGTCAGTCTTGCTCCATATAAGCAGAACTTTGCGTAGGATTTCTGGTTTAACAGCATTGTTAAACTCACTTTAAGCTTTCTGCTGAATTTCTAAATCCATCTGAACTGCATAAAATCTGTTCCTCTGTTACAAAAGCTATAGGTGATAGGTTCTAATTCTGCTTGATAATGAACCAGCTAGGTATAGCTCAGTTAACAGCAAAGAAAACTTGTCTTCCTGCAAGAAAACCTGCCCCTTATTTCGATAATTTTTGGCATTTCTTTAACTTGATTTTTTTTTTTTTATCTTTACCGTTCTCACTCTGCGGCATCTTGTTCTAGATGGATTCCTTACACCATGTCATACACCAGACAGGAAGATATGACACAATCGTGGGGAATCCTTTGTATACGACGCAGCGCATAGATGTAAGATGTACTGAGGTATTAGTTACTAGAAAAGACCAATTTTGTCCGAGATGGGTTAACGATCTGTGAATAAATGTTGACTTTGCATTCCCCTGACGTGTCTGATGCGGGGATAGGAAAAAGCTGGAAAAGTTTCATACACCAGCCTTTCCCTCCTGGAGGCGCGATTTAAAATTTTGGCTTTGCTCATCAGAAAACATCTCCAGATTTCCAACTGGTTTGGTAACAAAAGAATTCGATACCAAAAAACGTGTGCACTTCAATTAATTCCTGCCATAAGGAGATGGCGCTAGGAATAGGTAACACTATATAAAATCTTGCGGGGGGGGGGGAGAGGTTTTACGGGGTATTTGTGGACTGTGCTTTGCCCGAGCCGATAGGAGTTATTTCCTTTATTTCCTTTCAAAAGCACTGTTGCTTATAAGGTGTAAACATATAAAGGCATACTTTTTGTATAAAGATTTAATGAAATATTTATTCTCCCTTCAGGCTAATGGCAGCTGGCAGGATGCTACCACCCCTTCATCAATCACTTCACCTGCTGGAGACCCTGGAAGTGTTAATTCGGATGCGTCTAATTAAGTTTTTAGGACCTATTGATGAGAGGAAAGAGGTCATTAGTGTAATTTGTCAATGTTGCTCTTTTTGCCAATACTATTGTTTATACAACTTGACACACAGCTAATTACCTCAGAAAAAACCCTGGAACCAATAGAAGATTGTGATTACAATGATACCTCTCTACCTCTCAGCCTCACGCAGTTGAGTTCTTTTCACTTATGCCCATTGGGATGTGAAATTGTTTTAAAAGAACTTGCTTCATTTTCTTAACCAAATTCATTTTTTTAAATATGGATTTTATGGTAAGAATCTGAAAGTGTCTCTTCTAGAACTTGGCGTTCGTCTCAAGTTTTACAGCTTAAGAAAATTGACTTATTTTAATTTCCATAAAGTTTTTTACTATGAAATTTCTGTTCTAGTTGATAGCTACTAACAGTTAAACCCCCTGTATTGTAATTGTATGCGTTCTCTGTATTGTAATTTTGTATAGGAAAATAAGCTTTTCTTAACTAGAATTCATTCTGAGCTAATTAATCAGAACGTTGCTTTACCAAAACTCTCACTGGACTTTGCTCTCGGGTAGGACCTTCCATCCTGTGTCATTCCATGTAATTCTAATTTAATGTCTAGTGAAAAAAAAAACCACCACCACAACACAACCAACCAACAAAACCACCTGACTTCCCCATGGATAATAGGTTTTTGTGCATTTCTGCAGCTGTTAACACAGAGTCCACCCCTTTCAGTTGAGATTTTATCAAAGATAATAAACTTCCAAAGCCTTTTTTTTTTTTTTTTTTTCTCTT